AATTTGGGGATGTGGGAATTTGAGGATGTGGGAATTTGGAGACGTAGGAATTTGAAGACATAGCGATTTGGGAACGTGGAAATTTGGGGATGTAGAAATTCAAGGATATAGAAATTTGGTGATACAGATATTTAGAGATATTGGCATTCAAGGATACAAAAATTTGAAGATATTAAGATATTGAACCTTCATCAACATGCAGAATAATTGTATACCTTTACTTTACATATTTACTCTTCATCCCTTACATATTTTATGCTTCATGCTTCATCCCTTATACATTTATTGTTACACTTCATGTTTAATCTAAAAGTACCTACACACGTGACATAAGATGTTCTTGTTGAAATGTACATTAACCTTTGCCGACATTGTTCTTCATCCCTTATATATTTCTCATCGTATTTTATCTTTAATCTAAAAGTACCTTCACATCAGACATAAAATGTTCTTGTCGAAATGTACGTTAACCTTGTCATGAAGAATAATCACATACTACTTGACATGTTCATTCTTCATCCCTTGCATATTTTATGCATCATTCTTCATCCCTTATATATAATATATGCTCCATCCCTTACATATTTTTCTTCAATTTAAAAGCAGCTGCATATTGAACATAAAAATTAACGTTAACTATCCTGATCCTAATAATTCTAACTATAGAACTAATGTTAGCATACTAGTACGTTTCAAAATGATGATTTCATAACGAGAGAATAATTTCGATTCAGGTCTCCGATGTTAACGACGACGTCCGACGAGCTGCAGTGACCGGTCTAGGATTCCTGCTGTTCAGGTGAGTACTCGCAGAGAATACTTAAAGCCCGTGGGCTCGATATGAGCCCCAGGAATGCGAATTGTTCGGTGTTCATCCGGAAATTCCGTGCTTGCAATGGATAACCTGGATCCGCCTAGCTTTTTAATAATGTCAACGAAAGTTATTTTCGCGGGTACTTTTTTGTTCGGGGAGAACGTCGCAAGTATGTGTAGAAAAGAAGGCATCCGAACTTTTCATATTTCTATGTTAATTTCGCAAAGTACGGATTTTTTTCCTTCCCTATTAATAATTTATCGTCGTAACTTCCATTTTCGCACCGTGTTTTTAAAATCGAAACCTTTGGTTCTTCGTTCACTTCGTAATTTAATGGCTGCTCTTAATATATGGATTAGAAAAATGAACAGTAATTGTGCAAACTAATTCTGAACTTAAAATGAAATCTTGAATTTTGGATATATACATAAAATGAAAATTCTTAAAATAATATAGACTGTTCGTGTAATATAATGTATGATACAGAAGAAAAATGCATAAAAATTTATTATTCACAGAATTTGTATGTTTTAATTAAAGCATATGGTTCTTTAAGAATTAAATTTCGCGCCATGATCGTTCAAAATGGCGAACATTATGAAAATGGCGTACATTGTATAAATGGCGGTCACCTAGTTTACAATTTCGGAACCGTTATTAGAGTTCTCTGCTGATTTTTACCACAACAATAAGACCGTTTTTATGACTTACTCAAATCGAGACGTCTCTGCATAAATCAGTAAATTTCTAAGCGTTCCATCTCGAAAACTAATAAAAATCGGGTAAATACATTAAATTTTGAATTCGTCTTGAAAATCACTATCGTGATCGAAAAAAAATATATAGTTCCATTTAAAAAACGAAACTTCATCATATCTTTTACATTAATAACATTAAAATAATTTGTACATCAAAGCATAGAGCCCCTTTATCCTGCAATTTCCATATAAACATTTTTTCGTGTCATCAATAGTTCATGAAATAACGCTGTCACACTTAGGCGGGTCACCCTGTATAATTCGATAAGAGAATATGAAACTAAAACAATCTAATAGCGGAGGTATTAATAAATCATTGATATGAAAACTCTCGTTATCAATGGCTCGACGCGTGATCGGTCAGCCGAGTAAGCAGGTTGTTCCGAATTTACGATTATTATACGATCTATTAACCAAACATGTTCCGCGTTTGCTCTCTCTCTCTCTCTCTTGTTGACGCTCTCTCTGATTCTCTTGTTTACGCCCTCTGTCTCTCCTGTTTACGCTCTCCCTCTGAATCCAAAGCACGTTGTTACACGAATTGAATTCGAAACTGCGCTGCTCTTTTAAAATGTAAATTACGTTAAGTGACAGACGAGATTTCCTCGTTGCGAAATCACACACGGATTAACGAATGAAATTTATATTTAATTAAATTTAAATCTAAAGATAACGCTGTACAGATATAATCTCTTCCTTCGTGATTGTGTCTTCTCTCGAGAGGCGGTGTTCTTTAATCAACTTTGCCTTATCGCAATTCTGTTGGTCTTTGATCACGAAATGATTGATGGAAACACCTTTTAGAGTCTCAAATTTAGAAATATTTTCAGCTTTGTAGATTTTAGGGGTAGGGGGTTTCAAGTATGGAAATTTAGAAATTTTCAAATTTAGATTTTTAGGATTTTTCTAAATTTAGAATTTGTAGATTTAGAGGTTTAGAATATGTGGAATTGTAAATTTGGAGATTTGCAAATTTAGAATATGTAGATTTGTAGATTAGAATTTGTAGGTTTACAAATTTGCAGATGTAGGGATTTGTAGATTTGGAATATGTAGATGTGTACAATCAGAATTTGCAGATGTACAATATGTAGATTTGTAAATTTGTGAATTTGAATATTTGCAGATGTAGACATGTAGTTTGTAGATTTGTAAGTTTCAAGATTTGGAAATTTAGAATATTTAGATTTGCACATGTGGACATGTGAATATGTGGATATGTGGATATGTGGATATGTGGACATGTGAATATGTGGATATGTGGATTTGTAGATATGTGGATTTGTGGATATGTGGATATGTGAATATGTGGATATGTGGATTTGTAGATATGTGGATATAAGGATATGTGGATATGTGGATATGTGGATATGTGGATATGTGGATATGTGGATATGTGGATATGTGGATATGTGGATATGTGGATATGTGGATATGTGGATATGTGGATATGTGGATATGTGGATATGTGGATATGTGGATATGTGGATATGTGGATATGTGGATATGTGGATATGTGGATATGTGGATATGTGGATATGTGGATATGTGGATATGTGGATATGTGGATATGTGGATATGTGGATATGTGGATATGTGGATATGTGGATATGTGGATATGTGGATATGTGGATATGTGGATATGTGGATATGTGGATATGTGGATATGTGGATATGTGGATATGTGGATATGTGGATACGTAGATATGTGGATATGTGGATATGTGGATATGTGTATACATAGATATGTGAATACGTAGATATGTGGATATGTGTATGCGTATCTATATGGATACGTAGATATGTGGATATGTAGATATGTAGTACATATGTGGACATGTAGAATTAGAATTTGCAGATGTAGAATCAGTCGATTCATAAATTTGCAGATTTGTATCTATGGACATTCAACAATTTTCAAATTCCTACAATCACAACTCCCAAAATAAAAATCATCTCATCACCACATAAAATAATCTCAACCCCTCATACTCTCACTCCATCACCATAAGTCAACCCTATCCATCAGATTCACCTTGATTCAATAGACTCGAAAAATGTCTTTGTCCCACGATTCGCAAACTGCAGAAATGGTTCTGTCTCGATCATTGTTTTCACAACAAACAGCTTTCGAAACCTCATCGAAGCGAGCGTCCATTTTCATCGATATTCACGTGAAAAGTTTCTTCGACTCGTTTCTATTGGCTCACACAGATTACAAAGCGCAATCATCGATTCCATAGTCGGAACCTTAGACTCGAAAGATATCAATCCTCTCGCAGACAAATAGAAAGGATCTCCCCACGGGATTGAAGCAACGTTCAAGGGAGCCTGTTAGAATCTTTCTTTTTTTCTAGTGGACTCGATGAATCTCGATCCGTGGTAATCGATATCCGGTTCGGGTATTCATCTCTTAATTGAAAACACTCGATCGAAGATCCTCGTGGCTATCTAGAATGAAGTGTCAACGAGGATAAATTGTCGGATTCTGGAAGCGTCAAAGTCGGGGATTCGTTAAGGTAGCTTTTGTCATTAGTAGAGACGTGATCGTTGTTAAGCGAAATTTTCTTGATATCTTATTGATGTTTAATTAGTGATATCGATGATATTGTTAATATTACAATTAAGGGAGGTGTAAATTTTATTGTTAAATTTAATGTTTATTACATTCATTGTTACACTTTTCCAGATTTCCCAATTTTTGAATTATCAAATTTTCAAACTGCCCTGGTAATTTTTAACTTAGAAAATTACTAGATTTCCAAATTTCTTAAAGTATTGAGTACAAAAGTTTTGTACATTTTCCAATTTTAAGATTTTTTTAATTACTTAATTTATAAATCTCTAAATTACCAAGTATGCAATCGCTAAGTTACTAGATCGTGAAATTCCTAGATCCAAAAATCACTGGAGCCAAAAATCACTAGAACCAACAATCTCTACATTCAAAAATCCATATATTCAAAAACTAGTAGTTTCCAGATCCCCTAGTTTCTAAATCACCTAGATTCCAAATCTCCTAGATTCCAAATCCCCTAGATTTCAAATCCCTTAGGTTTCAAATTGCTTAGATTCCAAATTCCCCAGTTTCCAAATTCTTTAGATTCAAAATCTCCTAGATTTCAAATTCCCTAGATTCCAAATCTCCTAAATTCCATATTCCCTAAATTCCAAATCTCCTAGATTCCAAATTCCCTAAATTCCAAATTTCCTAGGTTCCAAATTCCTTAGATTCCAAATCTCCTAAATTCCAAATTCCCAAAATTCCAAATCTCCTAGGTTCCAAATTCCCTTGATTCCAAATCTCCTAAATTCCAAATTCCTTAAATTCCAAATCTCCTAGGTTCCAAATTCCCTAGATTTGAAATTCTCTAGATTTCAAATCTCCTAGATTCCAAATTCCCAAAATTCCAAATCTCCTAGATTCCAAATCTCCTAGATTCCAAATCTCCTAGATTTCAAATTCCCTAAATTACAAATTTCCTAGGTTCCAAATTCTCTAGATTCCAAATCTCCTAAATTCCAAATTCCCTAAATTACAAATCTCCTAGGTTCCAAATTCCCTAGATTCCAAATCTCCTAAATTCTAAATTCCCTAAATTCCAAATCTCCTAGGTTCCAAATTCCCTAAATTTCAAATTCCCCGGATTTCGAATTCCCCAGATTCGTAAATCCCTAGTCCCAAAAATTCCTAAATTCCTAACCCTCAGTTTCCAAATTCCCTCTATTCCAAACCCATAGATTACAAATCCTTAGATTCTAAATTCCTAAATTTTATATTTGTAGATTTTAAATTTCTAGCTTCTAAATTTCTAGATCCTTAAATTCCTAGTTTGCAATCCCCTAAATTCCAAATTATAAATTTAAAAATCTCCATATTCTAAATTCTTAAATGCCAAATTCTTAAATTTTAAATTTGTCGAACGTATTAATTTCTCGACCCAAAATCTCCCTACTTCAAATTCTGAAGTTCCCCCTATTTAAAAATTAGAAAATTTGCGTATCATAACAACAGTTCCCTATTAATTACCTTGTTGATCAATTCCAGATCTTCCACCATAACTTCTTCCGATTCAAATCAGTTTCCCTCAAATTCCTGTATTCCCGCAAAATCTTGTATTTACTCGAGAACAGTCTGAACTATCAGATCGTCTTTTCTGAAGAGACCGCCTTCAACGCATCGAAAATCGAGATTTCGCCTAAGCTTAAAGTTTTCTCAGATATCGGGTCGTCGTTGTCCTCTCCGGGCCAAAGTTCAGCTC